AGTTTGACACCACTTTAAGTGCTGTAGCTCCATCCTATGGAATCTGGGGATTTGTAATTTTGCAAGGTCTTTCGCCTTCTCTGCCAAAGAGAGTTGGTGGCCTCACAAAACTATACATCCCAGGATTCTGTAGGATGGCTACCCGGCAGTTAAAAGTGGTGTCGAACTGTATTGTTTCTACAGTGTAGACGCACCCCACTCACATTCTGCATTAAATCCTATTAAACTCAATACTGTTTGCGTCACAGAAGTATAGGATATGTATAGGATTGTGCTAATTGCAATGTGCTGATTGTGGTTTGAGAGTTGCAGTACGACTCTGGAGACAAAGGGTTCGATTCCCAGCTCAGCCATGAAACCCCCTGGGTGACCTTGGGTGAGTCACACTCTCTCAGCTCCAGGGGAAAGCAACGACAAACCTCCTCTAAGCAAATCTTGCCGCGAAAACCATACGATAGGGTTGCCTTAGGGTCGCCATAAGTCGGAAACGACTCGAAGTCACACAGCCACAACAACAACAAAAATAATTCTGATTATTGCTGTGAATAATCTCAGTCCAGTCGCTAGTCCCATGGAATCAGTAGGGTTTACTTTCAGTGTAGACTTGCCCTTGAGCAACTCATTCCATGGTCTACTCAAGTTGGAACAAGCCAACTTTTGTCCATCAAAAAATGCAAATAAAAATGCAGGGAAATCGACTCCTTCAAAGAGTATTTTCGCAAGATGCTCCGCCACCCGTTTGTCCTCTAAAATTGCTTTAATCTAAGCGAGACAAATGTTCTCGTCTATTTTTACACACAACGGAGCCGGTTCCAGCTCCTCACTCCACTCCAACAGAGGGAAAGGAGGGCTAGAAATCTGGAGTTTTACCCCAAGAACAAAACATGCACGAATCGATGAGAGTAAGTAACTAACAGCCACCCACTCCTATCATCTGCCAGGCCTTGTAACTCCCAGATCTTCATTTCAGTCCAAAAGTGTGCAGTGAAATGTTAGGTGTGTTGGGCAACTCTGGAAACCAGGGTTCGAATCCTGGCTCGGCCATGAAAAAAAACCTGGGTGACCTTGGGCAAGTCACACTCTCTCAGCCTCAGGGTAAGGCAGTGGCAAACCTTTTCTGAACAAACTTTGCCATGAAAACCCCATGAGAAGTACGCCTTCAGGGTTGCCATAAGTTGGAAAC